AAGATTTGGTTCTATGGAACTGTTAGAACATATAAAGTGTTCCAAAAGTAACGAGTTACTTTTTAAGTTTTTCGAAATTAGCTTTATGGCCTTTAAATTTTCCTTAGACAGTTAGAAAAGAAATTTAAAAAAAGATTACTTCTTAACGATTTTTAAATATATTACTTAAATGATAAAGCTGTTCGTGTTATGACTATTATGCACTTTTTTAATAACTATCAGTGTAAGAATAGCGTATGAAATTAAAATCTTCTAGAAGTTTTAATTTGAAGTTATTATCAATATTTTAGATTTCTCGTCTAATTTCAAATTATTGACACTTCTTTAAAGTATCTTTCAGTGTATATTAAACATAGTCAATCATTTTGTGTAATATATATAGATATATTGTGGAACTGTTAGAACATATAAAATGTTCCAAAAGTAACGAGTTACTTTTTAAGTTCTTCGAAATTACTTTATGGCCTTTAAATTTTCTTTAGACAGTTAGAAAAGAAATGAAAAAAAAGTTTACTTCTTAATGATTTTTAAATATATTACTTGAATGATAAAGCTGTTCTTGTTATTAATTAAAAACGCATGAATCAATCGATTTCTGTATTCCATTAATACACTGAGAAAAAGAAGCATAGTTAAAGCTATCAGACTATGATAAAATTTAGTTAGAGGTACGGCATTTAGGGTGCCGTAAAATCCATTTTTAGCGGAACATAATACAGAATAAAATATTTGACATACCGTAATTTTTACAATGATAATTACCTTAAAATCACTGAATCACTCAAACTAAATAAACATAACAGTGAAAATTACGGCGTAATAATTTACGATAAAAATGGATTTTACTGATGGATTTTACGTTACTTTATAGCGTAATTTGATTCGTAATTAATTATACCGGCAACCCGGATTATTTTAATCCGAAATTTACACTGCGGCACTTAGAATGAGTACGCTGAGAATAAGGTATGGTCAAAAATACTAAAATATGCTGAAATTTACCGCGTTTCTAGCTCTTTAAGAACATTAAAAGCTCTGTAATTTTCACCGAAGAGCTTTGTTAATGACTTTGATAAAATCAACAGTAAAATATGGTTTTATAATGGGCGATAAAATTAAGTAAATGTGGTAAAATTTAGTAATTTTATCTTGATACCTTAGAGCATAGGATAAAAACCCTTAATTCGATTAAATTTACTTTCACTTTTTATTTTTTGCTAACTGTATAGAAGTAGGAAGTATAATTTTGAAAAGTATAATTTTTCCGTCATACCGTTACCATATAGAAGGATAAATTGCCAAATGAATGTTTTGAATACAATGTATTTTGGTTTTATTAACCAGAATTACTGTTTTCCCTGGAATTCGTGAATATAAGAAACGCTGATAATGTTTCTGTTTATTTGTTATATTTCAATTAGAAAACATATTTTTTACAGACAATCCGAATCTATCTTCTAATATAAAAGAGCTGATTAATATGAAAAAAAGTAACTGATAAAATGCGCCAAGGTCAATATTTGTTGCTTTGGAATTTATATTTGTATTCGATGTTATTTTTTTATCGCATCATCTCTAACATGTTATTTAAAAATAGCGCATATCTAAAAAAAGAAATTTTTTTAGCTAATTTAAATTCATTTTTCATAAAAGTTAAGTAATTCAAAAATATCATGTTTATTATACATATATCCTAACAGCTTGAGGCATTAAAAACGCGTGTTTCAATAATCATAAATAACACATGTTTTTAAACATTTCTTTTTTGCTTTAAATTAAATGTTTAGTTACCTTAATATTTATAACTTAAAACTGTAGTCATAATAATCAGCTTAAATGTTCATTTAAAATAATTTCTATTTTCTATCTAAGGAAATACAAAACCAAAATACTCCATCGAAAAGTTTAAGAGCATAGATTAAATAAGTTACATAGTAAATAAGAATAAATTTTAAATATAAATTATAATATGTAAACCTACTATATAAATACTAGTAAATAGGATAATACAAATTTGTTTTAGTTGAAAATTTAATAAACGTATACATTCATATGAGTAGCACAAGTCCATCGTGTAAATACAAATATAACTACGAAACGTATAACTGTATAAGCCGCATAAATCCAAAGGAAAAAAAGAAGAAAGAAACAATCTATTTTTGAGATTAAAGTGTAAAAACACTTCTGTTGATGTGAAGTTCTGTAAATGTGATTGTTGTGGGATTTCTTATCAGTTAAAAAATGAAGACAGCAAGTTAAAATATTTTTTCCTTTTTCGGATTTGTCACTGAAAATATCAAACAATGTTAGTTGGAATTTTTATCCTTGTCAAACATTGACCTTTTTTAAATATATATAAAATTACAGTGCATACATTTAACTTATTTTTAAATGTGATTGAATATTGCTTTTTTTGTCCTAAATAGCCCTGAAACCATTTTAATGATTAAAAGGTAGGGAAAATAATAAAATTAATAATTATGAAAAACTTTATGTTCTTTTATTATATAATCTGAATTAATTTTAAATGAAAGTAAACCGTTAAAGCTTAATTATGACTTTTATCAACCTTAATCAAAGTTATTCAAATCAATTAGTTAATCAAAGTAATAACTTATTAAAATTGGTTTAAGGTACAATACTCACTCATACTGTTCCATGCGCTTTATATATATATATATTAGAAAATGTTTGAATTTGAACAATATTTTAATCATACATTTAAAGAAAATTCGATTTTCACTTTATGTAAACAATACGAACAAAAAATACGAACAATTTGACCAAAACAGAAAAAAGCAATACAGAAATTAAATTATTGCTATTCTCGTAAAGGAAAAAAGAATAGACCTTTTGTGCATCAGAATCTGTGTTTTAAAATGAGATATAATTCTAAAAAGCTAAAGAGAAATTTTGAGGTCAGTTGTTTTTTTAATAAAATTAAATCTAATAAATGTTTAGATTAATTTGGGGCTTTTCATAGTATTAATTATCTTTAAAAATTATAAGTTTAAACAACAATTAGGAAGTTAGGAAGTAATAATTTTGAATGAAAGAAGTGCCATAACTCAGTTGATTCATTACTGAGTTTTACATATAATGTAATTTTAATGTAATAAGCGTACAAAATGCTGCATTAATCTATAGGAGCATTAATAGCGGATACATTTTCTTCTTAAGAAAAGTAAAAATACGTAACAGCTAATTTTGAAAAAAAAATTGTTAGAATTACACTGATAACAAGGACAATTATTTGTATTGTATTTAAATAGTATGAAAAACGAGAATCTTTTACATATGTAAGTCTTGGCAAAAATAAGCTTTAACAATAGTGGCTATAAAAACAAAATCTATTCAGGTCTGTTTAAAAAGACCGTTTCAAACTGAATTGATTCAAATAAAGTACGTTAACGCCTCAAACGTTAAAGGAACCGAATTGATTTAATGAATTTTAGAAATTATTAATTCAGTATTTGATATCCATTACAAAAGGAAATGAATATGCAAATAGTGAAAATATTTTTAAAATTTCCGTAATTATTTTAAGTGGTATATTAATGCAGATTTTATTTGTACAGTATAATTATATAACAGCGATTTTCAATACGTTTTTATTATTAAACTAACAGAAGGAGAGTTAATGTATTCTTCTATTTCTGTGTAAGTCTTAGTGTTCTAAGGAAAATAAATATGTGTGAAACAGCAAAAAGTTATTGATATCTGAATAAAAAATTATTACCAATACTTGCTAAATAACAGAAAAAAATTATTTAAATAAATACTCAAATTTTTTATGTTTTTAAATGATATTCCAAATCATTTGATTGAAATAATAGGATGAGAAAAAAACCTAAATTTTAAAAAAAATATTTCTCCCGAGTAAGTTTCTTAGTACTGCAACAAAACTTCTTGAGCTATATAATGATCATGCAAGGGGATTATACCAATCATACAAGTAATGCCAAGTATAAGGAATCGTACAAGAAATATCAATTGTGCATGGACACTTTTTGAGTTTAATATTAAAGCAGAATGTTACGTTATGTTTTCTTTTATCAGGTAAAAAGTGTTTACGAAGCCTTTTTTTTAACTAAATAAAAACTTAAGCTAGGAGAGATTGCACTTTTATGGAGTTAGAAGTTAAGAGCACAGTGTTGTTTCTATAGTGTATACATGAATGAATAAGAATGTAAAGGATAAAACGTGGCTATTTTATCTTCCAAAAGCACCGGTTTAAATTTTCATAATTTCTGTAGGATAATAGCGACATAAAATAGATAAAAAATACATGATTTTTCAGAACCTTGACTAACGGTGTCAGCAGCCATGCTTAAAAAAAAGTAATCCCTCTTAACTAAAATGGTTTAATGCTTAGATTTTATGCTAAGAGAGATTAAGTGCTTGGAGGAGCCAAGCAAGATGCTAACAAAACATTGAAACACTTTACGGAGTATCTATTCGTTGTAGCAAAAGTTTCCACTTTTGAAATTAAGGAATTCTTCTTAAAATTCGTTCATTTTTAGATTCTTTAATCACTAGGCTGAAATAATCACTCCTATATTTACAAAAATGTTAGTGCAAAGTCATTCAAGTGCATTTATGATTGTTAGTGGTTTATTTGTAGTTATTAATAACCATATTCTCCAAATTAAGTGCGCAAGCAAATTTACTCTGTAAGGACAGAGTGCGCAAACGAAACTTTTTGAGTTTTATTACAGCTGTTGTATTTAATGAAAGTATTAAAAATAAAACAATCATGAAAAGTTATCAAACACAAAAATATTAAACATTATCCATAGCTAGTGTAGGTCTAACTTTGCTGAATTGGGCACAGACTCTCCTAGTCTTACCTTACAGCAAAAAATGTTTTATGAAATATTAATGTAATAATAGAAATGTAATGTAATAATCTAATGTAATGATAGAAATATAATGTATCTATTAAAATATTAGATTGAAGTATAAAATATCAATATTGAACTTACCTCGTAGTCAAAGCTATAAAGAGGAAGAGAAGGCAAACCTGCTATCTTTTATAGAGAACCTGCTATCACTCCAGATGTTAAGGTTCACTTCCAAAGAACTTATCCTTTCTTTTATTCTAATATCTTTAATTGTGATAAAAGATTTGGTTCTATAGTCTTTTGCACCTGTTGTTTCGACATCAAACACTTGAACAAAAAATTATCAACCTAATCTTTGAGAGTCTTTTACGTAAATGTTTACGATTATTGAAAAGTATGAACGTAATTGCGCAATTTGTTTCGCTAAAAATAACACCTTAGCCTGTAAAAATATTTTATGAAAATGCGAGGAAAAAAACTAACAATTTCTGAAGAATGTAAGTCAATGTATGATTTATGACTGTTATGCTTTTACATAAGATTTTTCAAATATACATAAAAAAATCAGATTAAAAAAATAATGCTTCAATTTTTAAAAGTTATTGAAAGGTTAAAATGGTTCAGTAATAGTTAAATTTATGTTTCAATGCAAAAGTTAGATGAAAACTATTAAGTTGGTTTAATTCTAATGAAATGCAAATGAAAAACATAAATATCAGCTTTATTATTAAAGTAGTCTCCTATTTTCATTGAAACTATCCTCTGTATAAATTGAATTTTATAAAAAGGTTTTATTGCTTTTGATGAGCTTTCTTTTACTCTTTTATGTTCCAAATTGTAAATGCAATTTTATTTTTATTTCGATCAATATTTTCCTCATTCGCTAGAGTATATAGTTAGGTGGATCATTAAACAGATAGTTTTTTGTTTTGGAAAATGTATATATTGCTTGATACATTTTGCAGGTATGTTGTTTAAAAACAATATGCTTCTTTTAATGCTTAATGAAAAATGATGTTGTTAAAAAATGTGTTGTCGTTGATTCATAACAAGAAAATAAATCTTAAGAAATAAAAACAAAGAAATTTTAAAAGAGTATAAAACTAAATACTTAATCTTAAAAGAATAAAATAAAATATTGCTTCCATTAACTGTTTATTTAGCTTTTTATGTTGATTTCGGAATCCAGTGCATTTAAAAGCTACGCTAAAAAGCACCAGTATTAGACAAGACTTGATATCCTTTTTTTTGGTTAACAGTAATAGGTTTAACTTAAATATAGTGCAAATGTAGTTTAGTTCCAAGTCGAGGCTTTTCAGATACCTGATTTCGAAGCTCTTTAGCTAAGTCAGGTTTAAAACCACGAAAACAGCAAGTTATTTTATATATATATATATCAAATAAATATTATAATAATAAAAAAAGAAAGAAAGAAGTAGAAAAACTTATGAAAAACTTATTTATAAAATAATAAAAACAAATTCTCCTTTTCCGAGTTATGTTCGGGTGTTTAATTTAAATTTTTTATGAAGATGTTAAGCATTTCGATGCTAAAAAGCTGTTCATATGTTTAATTCATTTGTCAAGTTACAATCATGATACTACGAGTTACAGCCATCAGTCAATTGTATTCTTAACACACTTTTTGCTTCAGAGTAATTTTCAAATTGGAAAAAATATATATTCGAAAACAGCATTTAAACATGTCTATGAATAGTTAACCTTTACAAATGCAATTAATTTTTATAATTAAGTAGACGCGTTTTTTCATTAAATCTCGTTTTAATTTTTACGTGTGACAACATTTTTTTTCTGGTTCATAGTTTTATTAAAAAATAGTAATAATAAGAAGTGAGTTTAAAAAAAACAAAACAATCAAACCGAAAACAGAAAATAATAAATCTCTAAACAAACTGCAAAAAAAGTAATTAAAAAAATAACAAAAATTCTTCTAAAAGATTTTAATTAAAAATAATCCCCATATAACATTTTTTTTTTCCATTCCAGATTATTTGAAAGGTTTTTCTCTCCTTTTTATTAATATTTAATATTTGTTTTATGAGAAAGTTATTTCACCATGATTTGAATTGAAGTCACTGCTCATTCTTTATTTTTTCTCAACATTCTTTCCCGTTATTAAATTGATGCTTCTCAAGTTAAGAAGAAATGATGTTTTGATTTCGGATCCATTATTCTTTCCCCACATGACTTCTTTAATACACGAGAATTCATTATTTTTCTATTAAATAAACTTTTGTCTCTTTCATATTTAAGGAAATTTTCATTTGAGCATTTCAAATAAATTTTGAAATCATTTTGATTCAAAAGAAGATTATTTAAACTTAAAAACTATATTTTTTGAACTTCTTTGGAATTAATAACCCGTTCCTAAGATTCTTATATTTTATGCCGGATATTAAAATGTTCTATAAAAACTTTGGTTTTAATTAAGAACTTAATATTTAAAGTACAGATTTTTTCGGCAAAAAAATTACAAAGTGTCTGCAAATGTTTTTTCGATAAACCAGCAGAAAATTTCTTTGTTGTTAGATATACTTCCAGAACAGTAGGTTTGATAGTCATGTAAATTATAAGGTGTAAAATTAAGGTATAAAATTAAGCCATGTTTTTCCTCGATTTGAATGACAGTATAGGGTAATAATTTTTAAGATGATTTAATTTGCAAGGTTGCAAATTAAGGCAGAAAATTTGAATCTTATAGTGGTATCTTTCTTAAGGTACATAATAATTATTTTGTCTTATTTTCTAAACATGTGAAATGTGTTTTATTTATAATAATAGGCCCATTTCGTTTTTTGATAAATGATAGTTTAATTTTTTTAGAAATAGCTGTATAATATTAGCTATTTCTGTTTATTATTCTATATATTATGGATTAAAACTAACTTAAATTCATATTATCTTCATTAGTTGCTTTTAAATGAAGGCACTGTGTGAAATAGTGAGAAATTCTTTAAAATAAAATTAAAGATGCACTTTTTCAAATTACGTCCTACTATTTTTTAACAAAATTATTTTGCAACATTAATCAACAGTAGTAAAATATTGTCTCTTTAAAACATAATTATAAACATAACATAGCATAGGAAAATTTTATGTCAATAATATAACAGAAAATTTTTAAAAACTTCGTAATAGTAGTTATATTTTAAAATATACAAAAGTTTTCATAATTTGTAATTCACTATTCTACAATTTGCTTTTAATTATTATTTTATACGAAATAATGTATGGAAATAAATATTGTTGATCAAAATAACAACTTCTAAAAAAATAAATATCAGTTCTGAATAACTTTTTTAATTAAAATATTTTTTTAAATTCTTAAGAAAATCACTATTCAGTTGCACTTGAACTGATTAATATTTTAAAATGCGTTTGTAATGAAAGAAATGAAAAAAAAAATTCACATTACACTTCACAATATTTAATAAAACAAATGTAAAAATCTTTGCAATTCTTTTAGGAGCAAAACTCAGTTTACCACAAATTGAAAGCTTGTTTCTATATTTGATTATTTTATCTTCATTACTTCTGATATATTTACAGACACCTTTTTTCCATTACGTTGTAACTGATTGTTATAGGTATGTTCCGCAACCTTTATCAGCTATTTTTCGTGAATGAATTATGATGAAATATGAACTAGGAATTCATTTTTTCTGATAAACCAAACTAATCTAAACCTTTCTTAATTTTGTTTTATGTCGATTTATCTTTATTAATTCCTGATTTTATGGCTACATTTTATTTTATCTTCATTGATTCTGATATATTTACAGACTACCGTTTTCCCATTGCGTTGTTAATGACTGTTATAGGTATGTTCAATACCTTTATCAGCTATTTTTTGGGAATGAATTATGATGAAATATGAACTAAAAATTCATTTTTTTCTGATAAGCCAAACTAATCTAAACATTTCTTAATTTTGTTTTATGTCGATTTATCTTTATCAACTCCTGATTTCATGCCTACATTTTATTTTATCTTCATTTCTTCTGATGTATATACAGACAATTGTTTTTCTATTACGTAGTTACTGAGTGTTTATAGGTATGTTCATTACCTTTATCAGTTATTTTTCGGGAATGAATTATGATGAAATATGAACTAAAAATTAATTTTTTTCTGATAAACCAAACTAATCTAAGCGTTTCTTAATTTTGTTTTATGTCGATTTATCTTTATAATTCCTGATTTTATGGCTACATTTTATTTTATCTTCATTGACTCTGATGTATTTACAGACAACCGTTTTTCCATTATGTTGTTAATGACTGTTTATAGGTATGTTCAATACCTTTATCAGCTATTTTTTGGAAATGAATTATGATGAAATATCAACTGAAAATTCATTTTTTTCTGATAAACCAAACTAATCTTAACGTTTCTTAATTTTGTTCTAAGTTAATTTAATTCCTGATTTTATGGCTACATTTTGATAAGACGAAGTGCTACTATTTCTTTTGTGTAAAATCAGCAATTAAAAAAAATTCTGCTCTAAATTAGCGGCGAAAATTAGAAAATCGGACTTTACAATTGTTTAGTCAATAACTTTGCATTTATATACAAATTGTAGGTAAACAAAAATGCAAACTTTAATTTTGATAAGATGATACCTTCAAGAAATATTTTTAATACTTTAAATGCGTTTAAATGTGTTTCATTATTTGTTCATTATTCAATTACATTTTCAATAATAGATTTTGCAAATTGATACGATTCTTTATTTTATTTCAGTGAATAACTTTGCATTTATATACAAATTTTAGGTAAATAAAAATGTGAACTTTAATTTTGGTAAGATGATACCTTCTAGAAATACTTTTATAATTTTAAATGTGTTTAAAATGTGTTTCATCATTTGTTCATTTTTCAATTATATTTTCAATAGTTTATGCAAATTAATGCAATTTTTTATTTTATTTTAGTCAATAAATTTGCATTTATATACAAATTTTAGGTAAATAAAAATGTAAACTTTAATTTTGATAAGATGATACCTTCAAGAAATATTTTTAATATTTGTTATAAGGATATATGACGTCATTATATACGGTTCATTGAAGTTATAAGAAAAAAGGATTAAAAAACAGTATTAAAAATGTAAAAGTACGTATTGCATTACGTCAGAATTTTATGTCATTCAAATAAATTAAATTTTATGAACCGTTCCCTGTAATTGAGTTATACTTTATTTTCCGAACTGTAATTAAGAAAGTATCATGCTTTTGCATCCCTTATCTTTATTGGATTTTAAATTAAATACTAATTCAAATAACTTTTTCTTTAAACGGTTTTTATAAACTCAATTTTAAAGATATTCGATTTTCAACTGATTCTGCATTTTCGAACTCTTCGTTAATGAAATTACGTGAACGAATGAGTAACCTAACGAAAGAAATAATAATATATTAAGCTAAGTTAACCTTCGAAAAAAATATGAAATAATCATTTTCAGTTTTTCAGTAAATTTTTTTCTATCTATAAACAGTCATGTCTGTAAATTTCGGTTAAAGTCATTTTTTAAACAAGGAACAAGCTATAAAATTTTTTATGATTGCTTTTTTAAGTCTGATCGCAAATTTTATAGTTGAGAACACTGAATTTTATCTTAGTTTACTTATTTGTTTAATGATTAATTATATACAGATACATATTCTCTTTCACTCCGAATTGGAACAGATTGCTTCTATCATAGCTTTCCATCTCATTCTATTTGTGGCTAGATATTTTGCCTACCTCCATTTTTTTCCTACTGTTTTCAATTCGTTTACAATCGTCCTGTACCATGTATTTTTAGGTCTTCCTCTTTTTCTATTGCCATGAGGGTTCCAATAAAAAACTTGTTTTACTTTATTTTTTTGAGTAGAACATGACCAATCCAATTCCATTGACATTGTTTAATTTCTAGACCCATCGGTTTCTGTTTTGCTTTTCTAAGGATTTTTGCATTAGAAATTTTATGGAACCACTTGATATGCTTCTTCTTAAAAAGTTATTAATAAATACTTGAAGATTCTTCCTGCTATTTTTATTGCAGTGCCATGTCTCAGATCCATATAGTAGGACAGATTTAACATTAGTATTGAAAATTCTAATTTTCGTTGAATTTGTTGTATTTTTACTTTTACAGAATTTATTGCATAATTGTTTCGGGTTTTGTTTAATTTATTTAGTATATTTTCATCAGTTCCTCCTTTGTTGTTAGTCTCGCAGTGGACTAATCGTTAAGACACGGTTTCCAGCAGATCACCGAAGTCAAGCATCACTGGCTGCGGTCAGAGTGCGGGTGGGTGACCTCTTGGATCAGTCTGCGTAGGGACCGAGGGTGTGCGGTATTGGTCNAATATTGCTGTGTCCTCAGGGATGTTTCCCAGACCGTCGCCAATAGCCCATTGTGCAGCTCTAGTGTGACGTAAATGAACTACTACTATTTTGTTGTTAATTATACTTCCAAGATACGTAATACTGCTTACCTCATCTAGTCTATTATTTTCTAAGAATATGTGATTTAATTGATTAGGATTAATTTTCAAAACCTTAATTTCTATTTTGGTTAATAATAAGCCCAATTTTTTTGTTGTTGTTGTTTTTTTGCTTTACGTTTAAAATGCTTGTGTTTGTTTGAATGCTTTGAAGGGTGTTATTCAGTAAACATAAGTCGTCTGGTCTGCAAAATAAAGATCATAAAGATATTTAATGATTAAAACGGGATAGCTTTTTGCAGAATTTATTAAATAGAAACTTTTAAATATATTTAATTAAATATTAAGCAATGTGTTTCCTCTTTTAGTTCGTGCTTCATTTTAAATAAATAATTAAATTTTCTAACACTTTCAAAATATTTTTATGCTTAATATAATTTTTTATAGAATTAATCTGGAAAAATTCGAACTTGGTTTGAAGCCAAACTTAGTCAATAAAAAATTCTTATCATTACAATTCGTATAATTTGTCAAAATACAATCGGGCATTTCCATGATTTTGTCTTGCACGTGACTCGAATAATTAATTAATTAATATATTTGTCCAAATAATATAATTCGTAAATCTGTGTATATGCCCGCGAATGTGTGTTTTAAATAAAACATATGTAAAATTTTAGTTTTTAACTGTTCTTCTGTCGGGGTATCACTTGATGACATGGTGCAAAGCTTTCCTATTATAGATACATTAAATAAATGATGTCACTTTTAAAAAGTTAAGTAGGATAAGTCATGTGTAATCACATTAAGGCATATTAATCTATAAGCATGCAGTATTTGACGCAAGTTCTTCTTTTTTAAAAAGATCGACTCATTAATAAAAAATAACACACTTAGTTTCTTAACATGCCACACTATTACTTAAACTAAATTTATGTTTAAATAATATGATATATATGAATGACTACTTAAAAATTAATATTAAATTATAAGCTTCTAATCTAGAAACAACTCATCTAACAAATTATAAATAAAATTTAAAGAAATTCCAAATGCTTTGTTTATACGTATAACTTACGATCTTAAGATAACCGATTTTAACCAGTCTTACAAGTATAATTTTTTCCCTATCTTTCACTAAATATGAATGATACGTTTATACAAGCAATGATACCTTTCAAAATCATTACTATCCATTACATCATTCCTCTGAGTAGAATTTCTACTTGATAGAACACGTAATTATAGATCATTATAAAGATGTGGTTAATTCAACGTAAGTGATGATAATGGATAGTAGGATTTTTAAGCGTTCCTTTTGTGTGTCATGTAATGGCCAGTCAATAAGAACGTTAATTAAGATACTTCGTAACGCCATTTGTTCAGGGTCTCTTTTGTTGTTAAAAGGAACGTACAGAAAAACATTTTATTAAATGTCTTTTGCTGTCTGTGTATTTTTCGAATGGAAGAAAATTTTGTAAGGGAAAAGTATAAAACAAATAATGACTGTAAGGATGGGTACTATATTCTTTTTGAAAATTTCTTCTTGTTTTACAAAAGTTACGAAAGGTCTTAATTGCTATAAAACAGGATGAGTATACATAAAAGTGAAAAAGTTTTATCATATTTTTATTTCCTTTAAATTATAAATTAAGGATACTAAATTACGTGTAATGTACATACTTCAACTTCAGAATCGCTTAAAAGTATTTTAGAAAGACTTTCAAACAGATAAAACAGTTTTTAGCTCAATATTTTTTTTTAATAAATTGACAGAAGATAAAATATTTAAGAAGGCAAATAAATATAAAACAAGGAATAACTTAAATAGAAAATAAGGAATGCGTCTATTTTCTTTTTAAATTTTTTTTCTATTTATAAAAGTCACTATGAACTAGTCACTATGAATTAGTTGGTAAAAAACGAGATGATTGTTACAAATGACATACGTATTGTATAACATAACATTATCTATGATATAGCATAATATTGTATATTTTAAACATAATACGTATGGTTTACGTATTACATTTAAAAATATTTTTTTAAATATTTTAAATTAATAAATAAGTTTTTAGTTATAAATATTTTTCCAAGAAAATTTATAGAATTTGTTCGATTCTAACATTTAGTATGCACAAAAGTTTTGCTTGAAAACATCACTGGAAACTAGCATAAATATATGTGAACATGTTTTCAATTGAAGTAGTTTAATTCATGATACATAAATAATATATAACATAAAGACAAACTTAACTAAAAGAAAATCTAACTTCTTGTCCAAAATAAAATAATAATGAAAGAAAAATGAAAATTGAGTTGATGAAAAAACTGCTCCCATATAATGAAAAATTATAACTGGAGTAATAAACACATAAAAGATGTATATACAAGTATACAAAGGTTCAAACTGCTCAAAAAGTGGAATTTTGAACTTTTAGCTAAAGATTTATGCTCATGTCAATACACATTACTTTTTGAAATATTTATAAAAAAATAAATAAGCAAGCACTTTAAATAATATTCGACTATAATTTAATAGCATCAATATGCTTTTTTATAAACTTAATGTTATTTGCAAATATATTGAAATATATTTGCTATTGAATATATTACTATAGAAAAAAATCTTTTTTTTTTCGTGCTCCCGATCATGTTTTACTTCTTTTAAGCAGCATTCATCAACAACAAAAAAATTTCATTATTTTTTAACGAAAACTGTTTTAAACTATAATTTTTACATTTTTCACAATATTGTTTATCTGATCACGATTTTAGATGATTGAAGAGATAAGATTGATAAGATGTCAGTCGTCAATCAAGGCACTTATAGATTTTCCTCTTAGAGTGACAGCACAAGCAAGATGGAGAATAAAATACAAGCTATGCGCATAAAAAGAGATTGCTTGGATCCTTTTTCTTTTATTGAGTAAAAACTTTGATTTATTACACTTTCAATTTTTTTTCAAGATTAATGTTTTAAGTTTCCACCGTGAAGCCAATGACATATTAAACTGAAACTTTAAAGTAAACTAGTAAGCGAAAAATGTTGTTCAGAATACTTGACAACATTCCATTTAATACTGAGTATTAAAGAAACTGTTTATTATTTTTCAGCAATAAGTGTTTTCGTAAAATTCTTTGTAAAAGTTAAAAAAAAATGCTTTTCTAATAATAAACTACCATTTTATTTTAGTTTTATTTTAGAATCGGCGTTGAACAGCAGACCCAACTGTGAGGTTAAGACAATCAATGTTCTACTCCGCAACCTTGTAATTTTAAACCCAATCAAGAAGACAAGCGAACTCCTGGATTAAGCATTAAAACAAATCTTCGTGGAAGATTTTTTTGAAAGAACTAACTCGCATTTGAGTTACATGGAGAAGGGAGCCACGAAAACCTCTCACTGTTAGCACGACGATGAGAGGATTCAAAACCATTATCTGTCTACCACTGAGGATGCTTCGTAGCAGCACTGTGATCGGCGGAATCCGAGAGGAGGCAAAGCACTTCATTCCTGAGCCACAGTGACTTTAAGTTACTTTTATCAGGGAATACCCGGTGGTAGCTTGAATTAAATTTCCGATCGATCGGTCGTAAGTTGTTTGAGAACTGAAGGCGGCCTATACTCATCACTCCACAAAATTTGAGGAAATTGTTAGTTTTGCAACTGTATGACTTAATTCATGCCAGAAAATTCCAATTTAAATATTACTCTTAACACTTTTATTTTGGTAAATAAATATTTTTTAATTAGAATCCCTATTTTTAAATGAAGCAAAATTTTTTTTACCAACTTAGTCGTTTTGCACATAATAACTAGGAAAAAAAAATAAATAAATTATAAGTATGATAAATTAACAAAGTTTTGCATTTTTCTGAATTATTCAAAACTTAAATTTAAAATAAAGTTCTACTCTATGAAATTTATAATTTTGTTTAGTTCGTATATTTATATTAGGATGCAATAGTTTTCAAATAATCTATAATTTTTAGTACGAAAGGAATATATTACTCCCATAACATTCCTATAACGACAGCTACGGAAACAAAAAAATTTAATTTAAGTTAAAATATTTAATAATGATGCAGTAACTTAAATACAGTTAAAGAATGTTTTTAAATGATTATAACTGTATTCAAATATGAATTTGAAACATTTGTTTAGGCTAATAATTATAATTATATTAGATTGTTGCATATCTTTACGCCGTGAGAAAGGAAACCTATTTTTGAATCTTATTCAAAATGAAATAACGTCTATATTAACTTTTCAAACTCCAATAAGAGCGTAATATGGATGGTTTTTAATTTATTTTATTACCGTCGTTGAACAGCCGACCCAATTTTAGGTTTACGACTACTAATGTTCAACTCCGTAGCCTTGTAATTTTGAATCAATCCAGAAGACAAGGAAACTTATGGGTCAGTACCCCCAGAGGTCTGATTTGTTATGTGAACATGAAAGATTTTGTGACTCGACGGATTTAACGTGCATCAGTCACCATTTACTTCTTCGCCGGCGGGGATAGAACCAATGACCTCCTGGACATGGGCCCAGTGCCCTACCAACCAGGCTTTCCCGGCACCAAATATGGATGGTTTACCGTGTAAAGCTAACCATAGATGGCGCTAGGGGTTGAAATTCGTCGTAAGCTTTCTGGATTACTACTTTCAATTGATTTTTACGCCTATGCTTGAAAAGCGCGTTATCCAATATCATTACACTCGTAGCGTTAATTTAAATTTCAACTAGGCGATCAACAAATGAATTCGGAGACTCTACAAGCATACAATGATGCAATCCAAAATAAATCAAACTGCGATTTTTCAAACTAATATAGACAAATAAGGGCTAATACTCAGAACATGGAAAACCTAACACTTTATTCTTCTAGTAATATAAATTTTCTTACATTTATTTTACTCTCAGGACTTGTTGAAATTCATAAATTGCTGAAAATTCTTATGAATCGTAAAATTACGGTTAAATTTAAACGCATTTCACAATAATGAAACTTCTTAGAATATTAACACATCGGCTCGTAAGGATAACAAGCGGATGGATACACCGCAAGTTTTCTAATTTCTTTCTTTATGTTATGTATAAAATCTATCCACATGCAGTACTCAGGTACTAAATTTTGCATTTTACACCATTAAAATACATGCTTTATTTTTGCTGTACTATTTTTGTTGTCATAGGAAAATATAACCATTGAGGAGACAATTCCATATGCGACTGAGGCCACCAAGATTGATAGTTATTGGCACTGAAGAGAGTGCATGTTTCTACTATGTGCATGGTTTACAACGAATAAAGATGTGAAAGCTGTAATTTTGATTATGGCAATTTATTGGATTTTTAATGTAGAATTTCCTTCTTTCTAGATATTAACCTTTTGCCTACGACGCCTGACAGCACCTGCTATTTTGGATCATCAGTTGTACCTGCCGTAAGCGAAATAAGCAGTGTGTTGCTGAAAGTAAAGCTTTTTGTCAAACATTTTCAAAATGTGGTGCAGTTGTTGGATTGCTTAAATTACATACAAATTTCAATAAAAATTATATGGGTCATTATACGCCGTGTTCTTCTATGCGTGTCATTGTTCTTTTTTATTTAAAAAATCTTAATCACTAAAATATGCCTTAAGAAAAAATAATTCTCATAATTCTGATTCTAGTTCTCATTCATGCCTGCATGAATTACTTTATAAATGCTGCATGTGTCCTTTTCTCAGGCTCTAATAAAATTAACTAATAATTCTTTACTAATAGGTTGATGTTTTTCTTTTGCATTTCATGTTTACTGTTTTTGAAGTTTTATTTCGAATGAAGATCCAAATGATCAAAATAATAAAATGTTATTAATTAATTTTTTCTTGTAATGGGGGGAATAAATTCCTACGCAATTTTGCAAAACATGGAGATATATTTATCGTAATTTTGTTTCAAATCAGGAATCTGAGCAGTCCAAATATGATAGAGAAAATTCCAAACATTACTGAGAAAATTGCTTAATTTATTATTGGTTAGAAATTGTGCCAATTGGCATACTTTTTAAACATGAATAATTTTTAGACGTGCATATATTTTAATGTTAAAATTTTATTGTAATGCTTTAAGGTCAATAAGTAAATGATGCTGTAAGCTAATCAGTATTTATAATAAATTCATAAATTATAAATATGCCAAGAAAGATATTTAAATTTATATAAATTGTATGTGGAATTCATCCTAAAACAGTTTTTTAGAGACACTGAAATAGAGAATTACTGAGTCAAGAAAAAGATGTTTAGGATTGTGCAAAGTAGGTGTCAACATGGCTAAAATGTGTATTAAGTATTTACCAAAATAGGTTCTAAGTGATATTAAGATCGGATGTTACGATATCTACATTGGGTATTTAACACTGCCTAAAATTGTTTCAATAGGATGCCAAGAATAGGTCTTCAAATACCCGAAATGGGTACATAATGATAACCAAAACAGACATGAGCCATGAGCCAATTTAGTATGAATCAAAACTCACTAACCTCATACCTAACAATTTTTCATCTCAATTTGTTTTTTTTTAACCCAATTTAGGTTATTTTTTCCACAATGGATACACAGTTATATTCAAAACAGGCATGAGTCATGACCGAATTTATTATGAACCCAAATTAGTAACCTCCTACCTATGAATCTTTCAACCCAAATTAGATCTTTTATTGCCCATTTTAGCTGATTTTTCCTGCGTACACAAGCAACAATTTTATCAGTTAAAAATTATGTATTTCATCCACAATATGACTAATGTTCCTATTTCTGATACAGATGGAAAGTCTTATTTTTTTTTACTTAAAGACTACGCAAAATATGAATACTATCTTAAAAGGATTTCTATGCTTAATGTGTAATATTCAATTATTTATTTGTTTGCTAAGAAAGAAACCAATATCCGAAACACTGGAAACATATAAACTGTAAATTCGTAAAACATGATACCGTCATGTGGGGCTACTTTGTGCAGGATTTCGCAGTTTTTGAACTTTGACATGTAAAAAAACTATGTTAATTCAAACTTTAGTAAAATTTATCGATATTATATTCATAACTGGACTCAGACGAGTGAATTTGATCAATATTGGCATTATTTGTATGTAATATTTACGAATAATAAGTCAAAACATACCTTGCACAAAGTAGCCCCCAAATGGGGCTACTTTGTGCAGCGATAGGAATTCAGTTTAATAATCATGTTTTTAGTAAAATATTGATATAAAATTGTTAAAAAGTTAATTGTTGACATTTTTAATAACAAAATCATCTAGATATGTAAAGATATTAGTTTGAAAATAATTTTCAGCATTAAAAAAACCATTTTTTATAAAGAATTTTTTCTTAAAAGGAATATTTATCTCAAAACATTTGAGTTTAAACAAAAGGAAACCATATACATTTTTGAACATTGAAATTTCAAAAATAATAATTATTACATATTCATTAACATTTATAATATTGATAAATTTGAACATAAGATGCTTGAATGAACATGACAGAACTTGCTCTTCAGTTTCTGTCGAAATCACCTGATGTTCTATAAAATATATTTTTATATGTTAAATCGCTTGATTAATTCATTAGAAAAATCTTCGTAGAAGAAAAACAATAGTTTACCAGCACGTTTCACGTGTTTCTTGTGAATTTTATTAGAGTTAGTATTTCTGTGGATTTTGTACTTCTGCAATCGACATACCACCAGCAACTACTTGCAAACATTGTTGCAGATTTTCTAAAGTGTAATCACTGTTAGAAAATCTGCAACATTGTTTGGTACAACTGGTAGTTTCTCGTTCCAGGTATTTTTTTTTATAATGTCTGACAATTTTTCTGTCGAAAAAAAAAACGAATGAAACTTTGCACAAATTATCCTCACAGTGCATTTTTTTTCATTTTTCGTTGATTTGTTATAAAATTTCAATTTTTTTTTAACTCTAACATGATATAATTGTTTATTAATATATGAATAAAAAATTTTGCACTTACAATTGCTTTATCAACGTCTTTGCATTTCACAGCTAAAGCTTCCACGCACACTTTTCGACGTCCGACGTTCTCGGAAAGTTGTTGACATTGGATAAACAAAACACACTCTGAGATTGTTTTAAAATTCGAAATTTTTTTTGTAGCAATAGAGGAGACTTCTATCTTCAAATTTCACACATTTTTAACTTGAAAAACGTCTCCATTCCTCCTTTAACGCATCTTTCAGCTGATGGGCGTAACCAGGAGGATACTGTCGTGTCGCAAGACGTCTCCCTAATGCATCCCACACATGCTCTATGGGATTTAGATCTGGAGAGTAAGCTGGCCAATCCATTCGTGTGATATCTTCACTTTCCAGTAGCTCTTGAACATTAGCAGTACGGTGTGTCATCCGTAAAAATGAAGTCTGGTCCAATGGAACTTCGGAACAGACACACATGGGGTAGGATTACCTCATTGCAGTAGCGGTCTCTAGTTACAGAACCTCGGTCGAAGATCTGAAGCTCAGTCCGCCCGTTCAACATAATGCCCCCCCCAGACGACAACCCCAGGACCACCGTAACGATCTCTTTCCGCGATGTTATTGGGATGAAATCGAGCTCCAACCTCTCTCCAGATCAACTGACGTTGAGAATCGCTTGTAGCACTAAAACGACTCTCATCTGTGAAGAGGACGCGACTCCATTGATGAGGTGTCCAGGTTTCGTGTTCTCTGCACCACTCTAAACGGTGCCGCCGATGGCTAACTCTGAAGGGTATGCATCGTTCAGGACGTCTAGCAAATAAGCCACCTTTGTGGAGGCGCCTGGCCACTGTAAATCTTGATACTTGTCGTCCTGTGACTGAGCACAGTTGCTGAGATATGACACTCGCTGACTGAAAACGGTTTCTTTTCGCCTGGAGGACAATGTAACGGTCATCTCTAGNTTTTTACATAGAATTACAATATAATATCGTACTGTTTATATATTTCTACTTTGAAAAAAATAATAATTCTGGTCATCTTGATGCATGTTTTTATTCTGTCCAATTCAACCCTTCAGTAATTGCCCCCTCCTCCTTTAAAGAAATCTTTTCCTGTTGGCAACTAATAAGAACACTAATTGTTATATTGTGTAAAAAATTTTATATTTCCTCTAGGCACATGTTTCCATTTTCTTGCAGTCTTAAGCTATGAAATAAATTTATTAATTAAAGTTGACTTATTCTTCGAACTAAAATAATTTTACTAACTACTTCAGTTAAGGGAATTTTAATTTTATTTGTGCTCTAACAATTTAGAAGTTAAATAAAGTTTTTATATTTTTTATCAGCACTAATTTAACATTTCAGGCCTAAATTCATGATAAGTGCTGTCACTAATCAATATTGTCATTTAAATTTTCTGTTCTACTTATGCTATATCATTATTGTTGCTTTATTCTGCATTTATATGGCATTAAAGATTGGAATTTTTTTTAACTTTAAACAGCCATATATATATATATATATATAAATCAGCATTGACAGCTAAGTTCAAATTGCTATTTCAATTAATGGAATCGTGACCTCATCCTTAAAAAATGGCACAAAAATGTCGCAAACTAATTCTTATTATCATTCTCCTCTATTTATGAGAATCACAGAGAATCGGCACTTTAGTATGCAACAGTGTTGCGTGCATGCATGATGCTAAAAAAGTAGCATAATCACTGGAGCAGATAAAAAAAGAAAGAAAAATATTTCATGTTATTAAAAAAAAACCATTAGAAAAATATGCATTTGTAAAAATCTAAATCCATATTACAAACTCATTTCTATATAAATGTATGAGAGAATTCTTGTGTGGTTAAAAATTTATTATTTCCAACAAATTATTCTTCAGTTTTTCTCTAAGAATATTTAAATTTTAATGAGCTGAAATTTTAATATTAAACTTGCTTGAAGATAATTTCTTGATATGGTGTTTTGCTTGTGCCAATTATTTATCTGCTAAAAAAATGAATATGATAATGAAAATAAATTAGCCGACCCAATTTTGATTTTGCGACTACCAAAGTTCAACTCTGTAGCTTTGTAATTTTGAACATAATCCAGAAGACAAGGGCACTCCTGGATCAAGTATTAGGAGTATTAGGAGAAATTTGTCTTCGTGATGGACTTTTTGATGAAACTTACCGCGCGTTTGCGTTACATGGAGAGGAAAAACCGTGAAAACCTCCCACGGTTATCCTGATAGCAAGGGGATTCAAAGCCATGATCCGTCTACCACGAGGGTATTTAACAAAAACACTATGGTCGGTTCGAACCTTGTGCAGAATTCGTATCTATCACTAATCACTCGGATTCTAAACCGGGTCACCACATTCGGAGGTGAGTGCTCTATCACCTGAGCCACCACAGCTCAATGAAAATAATTGTAATGGATATAAAGTTTTAGTTTCTTTTGTGATCAATTTGATAACCTCTATGTATGGGGATTAGGTGCCCCCACCCCCAAATCTGCACTCCACTAGATAGCAAAAATAAAATACTAAAGATATGTAAAGCTTCAGCACCAGTTTCGTAAT